TCCCGACCATGGCAGGATTTTCGGCACTAACTTGTCAGCTAGTCAAATTCAACCGCTGTCTGGAGGGGAATTCTAGTGTCCTGCTGCTCTGATCGGTAGTTGTCCGTGACTTTTCCCGTTTGAGAAAATAACAAACCCAATCGTTTGTTTTTTGGCATATTTATAGCATGTCTTGCCTCGCTGTTGATGCGGCACTCTTGGATATCTGGGAAATAAATCTAATTAAGCCATGTTAAAAAAGTTTTCAAATGGTCCCGTATTTTTGAACGCCATTTTTTGAACTCTTCACTGAGCCGCACGGCCTGGGCGAAGAACGTCGGGAAATAAAGTTGTGCACTGAAAGTTTATGGATTTCATTTCTGTCGCTTAGCAACTTTTTTCTACATATTAATGTGGTTGAATGTTTAGTTTTTACAAATGTTGCTAATCTCGCGCTTTTTTAAATTTGGTATTATTCTTATATGAACTTTTATTCATCTTTCAACTATTTGTAGTTCAAATGTTGAGAGGGGAGTTCTGGAACTCAAGAAAACGTGCGCAGTTGATTTTCTCACCCATACATCACTTAAAGTTTTGTATGTTTTTTTGACTAAATAATTTAAACACCTTACGAAGACTGTCGTTGTTCCGCTACGATGTCGTCAAATTATTTAATGGATCGTTAAAAATTGTTAACGTTTCATAATTTTATGAAATATTAACAAATCGTGCACGCTGATCATGAACCTTCCGGCGGACTCGACGCTAAGCCGTGGAAACCTCTGAACCCTGGGCGGGAGCTGAACCGTGGATGTTCGCCTTTGCGACAGCTGCGTCCGCGCAGATGGCAGAGGCGTGGCTGGGCTGAGTCGAGCGGGTCACGGCTGATGCGGTGTAGGAATGCTTTTAGGGAGAGCGCAAAAAAGGTGAAAAAAGTGAAGGAGGCGCACTCACGGCAAGGTGTCCATCCGCTAGACGAGTCTGGAGCACGCGGGGCATCCGTAGAATTATCTCTGGGCTCTGGAGGTCAGTGAATTAAATATAAGGGATTTCACTGAGATTAAATCATAGGGGTACAACTGTCCGAGGCAAGGAAGGGGAGAGATTACTCCAATATTTCCAAATATACGAGAATTAATTTTCATAATTATTAAAAAATACGAATACATACTAATGATCGAAAATGTCAATTGCATTTCAAAATTATGGATTACTCTATAATAATAGAAATAATAATAATTAGAGCTCGGACTTTTAGATGCCAAAACAAGTAAACATTAATTTTTTATGTGCTTGAAAAGTGAAAAATTTGTGTTTAAACAACGAAAATATTTAGTTGATACCCATATAAAAATTAGTAACCAAGATCGAAAGAAATCTCAAAGTAATACTCACGTCGTCCCGTCGTACTATCACTGCACATTTCGTGTGTGTAATCCCAGGAAGTTAGAGAGCTACTCGTGTTATGAGTGTATGTTAACGCCCAGAGTGCCATTGCCTGAATCGACAGTGGTGTTAGCGGTCAACCTCAGACGTTTTGACAAGTGAATCAGACTCACTCCACTCACTCGGGGAATCATGTAACATGTAATGCATTCTAAACTATTACATTTTAAACCATAAGTCCAAACAATCCGAAGTATTAAAATTCAAAATACTCAAAATGTATATTTATTCATGAAAACTTAGAGAAATATATAATAATATTTGTTTTGACGAAAAAATTAATTTTTATGCAACTTAATCGAAATGTTTATTTTGAGATGATATGCAATTTCATTTATGGAAACTATATCTCGCTACGTAAATTTTCACTTAACTTCCAAGTTCAGAATTCAGAGGGAAATATGTATTACCTAAAAGTTCGACAATAATAATGATTATTATTATTATTAATATTGTTTTAAAAATGAAACTCCTTCAGTCACAAAATCATGGGAAAAAGCCATGGAACTCCCGTCCTCTAATTTTCTGACCCAGACCCCCTACACAACTTCGACGAAAGTTAGCTACCATTAGTACTGGAACAGAGCGCCTCTGAATCTACGTTTTCAGTTGTGGACTCGTAATTGCAATAGCTAACAAACTGGTTTCTTACTTTCATTTATTTAATGTGAATAAAAGGAAGAACTAATTTAAAGTCGAGAACAGCTACTTTTAATTTCTATAAGAAAAACAAGGAAGTCTTTTTAGCATTTACTGTGGATGACGGAACTGGGCCGAAAATACTGAGTCGAATGGTTGAATTCCCTCTCCTTTTCTCCTTCATCTCTTGAGATGTCTTCTTCAGATTGTTTGGTGACTTATGAGGCGATTTAGCAGATACATGCTCTTGGTAAATCCTATTGAAATGTTAGGGTAACCAACAGAGACCCCAAAAATGAGTAAGACAAGTGATTACGTTTTTCTTAAAAATAGATATCACAAACATTTTGAAAAGGACCAGTTGAGAAACGAAATTTTCAGACCTAGTTTTAGAATAAACATTACCCCGCTTCATCAAGACTTTATGTGCACATGACACTTGTCCCCCCCTACACACACACGTAATGTAACTCAGGAGAAGTTTAGAATACAGAGATGCTCTCAACCCGTTGTAAAAACAGACACCGCGCGTATGCCACTCTTGTAAATAAACTACAGAGGCCGGGGAGCAAAGGAAATAAATAGAGAGGGGAAGGAGATGTAAAATTCCGTAACGTGTATGTTATGTAATCCTTAGGGTGCAGGATGCGAGGGGAAGTCTGGATTTGAGAGTGGAAACACAGAGCAGGGCTAAAGAACATAGTATGAAAGATCGCACTGCGATATGTATACAGAATCAACTATACAAATATTTATTGTATTAATTATAGTTGTATTTATTATAAACTATTTATCTCAAGAACTGTATCTCAAGGGACTACGAACTACGAATTAATAAGTTGCAAAATATTGTGCAGAATGGGGTCGAATGACAGCAGGCGAAATGAACGGAATCTGGAAAGTCCTGCCGACTGAGAACGTCGTTTTGCTCGATTATAAACGATAATTGTTACGAGTACACTGTGAGTACAAATACTAGTATATTATTTTAAATAAGAATTGTTACGGGAAGTTACTGCTTCACGGTTCAACGAGTGATTATTATTTTCTTTTCAGTGGTCGAATTATTTTTCACCGTCTCTGATTTGTTCCAATTAAACCTTCATTTTGATTACGTGTTTGCTGACGTATAATCTTTCGCGGATCAGGCTAAAATTGGTCATCGTAAGCCCTCTAAATCTTCGAGGGCCCTATTGAGGAATCGATCATCTTTGCTCGGATCAGCGATCTGGCGTAGAGATTCCAGTCCGAAGGGTGCTAGATAGACGTAGGATATAAGAAAAGCCAACCCCGAGCCCTTGAAAGTTCTAGATTAATGTAAGTGGTGCGTGATTGAACCGCGGCAGCCAAACGGAACACGAATGCTTGATGTTGCACGACGGTGGAAAATCGAAAAGAGAAGTGCGGCCGCGGAGGTGAGCGCTCTCTATGACGCATTCAGAGGTTGAGCGGCAGCGGCAGCGACCACTTCGAAGGACTTTGAATGAATGGCAATCTCGTCGCACGAGGTTCGTTGGGCAATGAGTGACTGTCGGAGTACTCTACTGTTCGAAGTCCGGGTGGAGCTGTTGAGAGCGCGAAGTAAAAAAAAATTTAAAAAAAAAAAAAACGAGGGAGGGGGAATTGGGAAGACGAAAATGGGAAGCGTACCCTCATGGGTGTACGTGGGCGAGAGATGTAATTGTGTTCTAAGATGACCCTAGTTTGTCGACTGAAGTATGATTCACATCAACAATTTTGGGTAATAGAAATAAATTTTAAAACATCCTTATTAAATGTGATAATACAGAAATAGCACTTTTTTTGAACATAAAGATGAATTGATCATAGTGACATGAAAAACATGAACTGTCAAGTCTCAGCCAAACGAACAGTGGCAGCAGATAGAATGCATTTATCACGGTTGGGTTTTTCTTCAAAAGGCATATTTTCTTCAATATCATTTGAAAAAAGTCAACACAAGTTTCATTATAATTTTCACTGGGTACCGGAATTGCGTCCTTAATTTCTTTAGCAAGTTCTGTTTTGTCGCAGGTTCATATTGTGACATAATGCTCTTTCACTAGCCTGCGTGTGTGTCATAGACCCTGTGGTACAGGTTCATAATGATCTTTCAGAAGCAGCTTTGTTTGGCGTAATGCAGAAGATAAACTTCATAAACTTTAGTAAATAGAAATTACATGATTCTTGATGAAATGAGAGGATATTTCAACCCACCTTTTGTTTTTTAATTTAGTTTGCAGTTAATTCATAATTTCTAATCGGTTACAAACTGACACTGTCGTAGTCGTCATACATACCGCTTATACAATAGATATATTTTAGTTCGGGTTAATATTTGATTAATTCGAAACAAATAGTTGTACCGACGTACTTTCCGAAAATTTTGATTTTGAGCATCAAGATTCGTGACTGTCACAAACAATGGAGCGGACGGTCACCCTACCGAATCTATTTTATTTCATTTTATTTTTGATTTATTTATTTGTGGTCGCATCAAATACATAGGTTATTTCCTGCAACTTAGCATCATTTACATGTATCAACAGGTATGTTTAATAACTGATATAATGGAATTACATAAAGGAAAAACAGAAAGTTTTGTCATGAAATGGGTTACATTGTGCAGGGATGTTGCTTCATTGAAGTGCAATACCAATAACAAGAGTTAATGAAATATCTGTGTGCACTTTGGCAGAAGTTTGAATTATCATTATATGTTATTAAGAATAATACAATTTTCACATTTTATTAATTGGTTCTGATATTCGGTAGAATACAGTAAGGTATCTAAAGCTTCATTCAGTTTCGTAGATTCTCTTTGATGACTGAATTTAGGGCGGTTGTCTGTAATGTGGTATTTGTGTACATTTGGGGGTTGGTCCGTGCATCTTCCGGTCCCTCGCACAGCTGCCCCCGCGCGAGGTCAAGTGGCAGAACGATCGTTGCCAATTCAGCTGCCGGGCGCTCGATTGCGCGAGCGTCATACGGACCAATTGGGCTCAACTCGCGCCTTGTTCGGGCTGTATTCGATAGGAGTTAACAGTAATAGAGTAGATGCAACAAAGGCGCTTCGAATGAAGCTCGTTTTTGACACTGTGCTTTCGCGTTCGTAAATCGATGCTTACTCAGTATACGATTCGGTGTTCCTATTAGGTTCTCCAACATTGTATTCGGGGGGGGGGTTATAGTAGTGCGAAAGAACATCCGACAAGATTTGCTACCACCCCTTTTTTAAAATGTTTAACCCTTTTTGTAATGTTTTCGTTAATATATAAATCTATATACTATAGATTAGTAGACTATAAAAATCTATAATTTTTCATATGTTATGCCCAAAGATGAAAAAAACTACAACTGAATGTTTAAAGTTTATTCTTATTAAGAACTTTCCTAGTAGATGTTTTCAACATAAAAAAAATACCTTTAAGACAGTTTAAAGCATCAGCACTACATTCACCTGGTAAAACGTGTTGGAGAAGTCTCCTGTTTCAGAAGATGTGAAAAATCCTAGTTCACTGAGTTTATGATTAATATTACTAATGTGATATAACATCACTGCTAGCGTACCAAATCGAGATGATCTTGAACTTTGAGTGCATTGCGTTTTGTGCGATTTAAGGAGCACACGCGAGTCAGCAACGTGTGATGAGAGCATCGTGGGGGGAAGGGGGGGGGACCTGACGAGTCGCCCGTCCTTGGACCGCGTCGACTTTGCCTCGCGGACCTCCGGCCGCGCCTCCGGCTCGTCATCGACCCTCGGAGCCTCGGCGCTACCGCCGTGCAGAGCTCCCGATGTAATCGCATCGCACAGGCAGTCAGAGGAGGCGGAAAAGAAAGTAGAGATAGAATCAAAGAAAGAAAGAAAGAAAGGATGGTCTTCAGAGAGAACAAGTGAGTAGACGAACAGACTTGAGCTGTGTGATTTCGTAGGCTTCCGCGATCAGTCATGCTAATGATATTGGCTGTCCAGGTGACGTTGCGCCGAAGGCCGTGGTGTCCACGTTTCGACCAAAAGAATAAAAGAAAAAAGGGCGACAAAAAAAGAGAGGGTAGATGGACAGGCGTTGGTTATGTGAAGTCGTAGGCATCCGAGCAAAAATTGTATTGGCTGTCCGAGTGACGCCGCGCCGAAGGCTGTGATGCCGACGTTTTGGCCATCTAAAGCTAGCCAGGCCTGAGGAAGACCACGACAAGATAGTCGTAACGTCAGCACAAGAGCCTTCGACGCGACGTCACCCGGACATCCAAGATCATTTGCAGACTTGCATTACAGCGTCAAACGGCTCTGTATCCAAATTGTTGGGGGACGGGGGGTCCAGATAACTATTCTACATATCTTCATTATTTCAATTTGTGTTTGCCATTGAATATTAAGCAAATTTGTTCCCAAAGAAAGCGAAGCTGCACAAAGAAACGAATAGTCACAATAATCAGTAGCTCTTGAGCAGCTTCCGCAAAGTAGTGAGTGTTTCAGTGAAGCCATATAATTGAGAATAAAACTTAAACTAGTAATTACACTTGAAATGTTTGCTTGCTTTAGAATCGGTCACGTCAATTGAATGAAATCGATGTAGGCATCTCGAAATATGTCTGTTACTTAGGGAACTGAGAAGTACTTCGGGTACCGATTTAAACTCTGATTGTAATTGTTGCTGTATGAGGTGAGATCAGTCCAAGAAATCAGTACTTTTAATTAAAGTTATATTGAAAATTCGAAATGGATTTTGATTTCTGTGGAGAGATGAGCACAACGGTGGACCAGGCATTCCTTCGTACCGGAAAATTGTTACGCAAAGGGGGCAATAGGTGAGATGAAGTTACAAAGAACGCTTTTCTTCTAAAATTTCTTGCCATCGAAGAAGATATTCTATAAAACTTTAAAATGCTGGTGAAAAATTATTTTTTAAAATTACAATTGTGTCAATATCTTCAAAATTACATATGTTACCAACACGAAAACAAAATATGATATTTTCCCATCATTCACAACTTGACACAATCCCGATACCTGAAAGTGATTCGAAGGTTTTGCTATATCTAACATAGGTTTATGACGCTTTATTATTGTCAATTTCCTTCCTAGCATTTAGTGTTTTCACTTTGTTGATCAAATTATGTTTGACATACATTAAAATCACATAACAGAAACACCTATTCAGAGTGATGAATTCCGATTTCTGCCAAGTTTTGATAATTGTGGAAATTTCATTGTGATATGAAGGACTCGGGGCAGTAAGATAAGCCACAGTAGCTCGCTGTTCGTAAATACTAATACATCTCGATTTTGGTCAGTGTGTCTTATCTCGTTACGCCCAAGCCTTCATGGCGTGAACAAAACGTATATACTATTAAGAAGATAAGCCACACTTTCACAAAAAATGGCGATCTTAACATATATGAATATCAGAAGGTTTGCTATAGCAGGCGTGTATTGTCGTGTTAGTACCGCAACTCTTTCATATGCATTTTTAGAATGTACGTACTAATTTCATTCTGACCTTTCAGAACTTGAAAATTCCTTTGCCTTCACATGCCAGATGAGCGCTTGGGAGTTTTCCGTCATTCCTACAGGCGAATATTCGAGCTTTCGTTACACGAGATCGAGGATTGGGTTACCTTCCTTGAAGAGAAAGTTTCACCTTTCAATATTTTCCATAACGTACATAGACAGACTTCGTACTAACTACTATTTCGCGGGTTTCATTGACGAGTGACTGTGAGACCTGCTAGGTTTTTTTCATAATCGCAAATGGGTGTTTTTTGGTATTCGAAATGCTGTATTATATTTTTTGCTACTCATATGCTGAAAACCAGCCACTACACTCGTGTATTGATGTTTGTTTGGTCAGACGGATCGTGCAAGTAATAGGCTTTAACGGCTGGATTCACTATTCAAATTATCTCCCGGGCTGGACTGCCATGGTCTGTAGATCTAGTATGTGAACAAAATTTCTTACAGACTACGTCCGTTCAGCTCGAAAGATAATTTGAATAATTGTGAAAGTGTTATGGTAACGTGTCAAATTCAAGAAATGATCGTTATGCCACACGGAGAGTATTTATAACCGGGAGGTGGTTAAAAAGATTTTCGTTCAATTAACCCCGCAACAAATGCACAAGACCCGTTCAACTTCAGATAGAGAAACTAATTCTAGATGACCAACTTCGTTACTCGCATCACGATGGAACCACAAGTTGATAATTTCGTACCTGAAAGAAATTCTATCTTTGAGCAAAGAGTGTGCGGAAAAGAGCAAGATGAAATTGACCATGAAGTAGTTGTACGCATCTCTTCTGAAATAGACCACAGGAATTACAACTTCTTCCCCACAAGACCCTTCCTGGCTATCGAACGATTGAAGGACTAAAATTACCAACTTCCTCCGTACTTGAACAGCAAGTTGTGTTTTATCATTAGCACATAATCATGCTATATCATTTTTAACGAGAACAGTTACACAAATATTCCTCATTCTAACTTCCCAAGAGTGTACGCGCTGTGCGGTTTGTTAACGCAATTTCCCCGTGTTCTGCTGGTTGTCGAGAGTTGTAACCGCTCCCAAGAAACGATCGTCCGCGACGACGTCCTTTGCCCTTCCCTTGGAGACGATTAAGGAGCGCCGCGTGATCTCGCAAGCGCGGAAACGTTGCACACTTCTGGCGGTTTACTCCGCACGTCGCCTCGTCTTCCATTAAGTAAAAGAAACGCAGTTGCATCACAGATGCAAAATATCAGTTTAAATGATAGTAATTGAAGGTAATTTAATAGTAATGAGTACGAATATGATGACTATTCGTATAGAGCAGTGGTTATTTACGGGATCGATGAAATTTTAAAGAGGGTCAGTGATGAATAATCAAGGGGTCGATTAAGGATCGATAGTCGAATTACGTATCGGCGACGAATGGGTATAATTACGATCCTAATAATGAATAACATTTAAAGTTGAATGTTTTCGTATAAAAATTTGTAAAACGCATGTTAATAATTTTTTTGTATTGTAAAATTTTATGTGCACAAAAAATAACAAAATCTTAATAAAAAAATTAATTGTTTATTTTGTATTCTGTACTCTTTTTTTCGCGTATAGGCCAACTCGGACCACGCGTGCATCCTGCTTCAGCAGATGCAAGTACCTTTATCTGGGCGGGGGGGGGGAGCATTTTAGCTGAATCCCGATTTTTATCTCCCAAGGTTGTTAGCCCTGGGGGTATGAATGATGAGATGATATTGATAGTGAGGGATGAAGG